CCATAGGGGCCAAGGGCTGAAAAACCCAGGCTCCTTGGGCACTGGAAATTTCAAAAGAAAAACATTAATTCACGATAGGGGGAGGGGACTCATGGACTTTTCCAAATGATGCCCCTTCATTTATCCATTCCCAGCTATCCCACTCAGGCAGAAGTGCATCCTGTATTTGCACTCTCGAGTCAAGGGCACAAGAGGCAGTTCTTTCTCTTGGAAAACTCATTTTATTGAATAATGACCCTCTGCCCTGAGCATCTCCACCTGATACCTCTCATGCTTTGTCTTATCACGACAGTTGGAAGAACTGCCTCCCGTTAAAGATATTTGTATAAATTTGAAAGCTACAGGAAAGTCAAAGATATAAAGAAATACCCATAGCCCACCAACCAAGGGGAATGACAATCCTCAGGGAAAGAGTTTGGTGCATTCCTTTATACTCTTCTTCTTCCCTCTTATCTACGTACATGTATGGATTGTACATGTGTGCACATATGTGGATGTCACATCAAAGAAAGTAAGATTATTAAATTTTGTGGCACAACCTACAGGAAACACATATATGGCTATTCTGTGATCCTTCAGCACTTTCTCATTAACTCTCTTTGGTGATCACCTGTTAACAACCATTAACATAGGTGATCAATGAACCTTAGATAATTAAGACCATCAACCATGGTCTTATTAATGATATTAAACCCCCTTATCCACCCATTTTTGCCTTTCTTTACATAGTCATATAATTTGGATCATTGAGTTTGGATCAAAGATTACAAATATTTTAAAATCATTATAATTGATATTAAATTATTTTCTAGAAAGAAGACATCTAATTAAATGCCCATCCTGACATCATCTGATGGTATCTTTAGTCCAGCATTTCCCGTGATGCTTCAGCAAGTCATTGGGGAAGAGAAAACAAACATTGGCTTTCCCTTCAGATATCTCTCTATCTATCTATCTATCTGTCTGTCTGTCTATCTCTATTTCTATCTTCTGTTCTCTCACACACACATTCATGTACCTGTAGACTCTGTCAAAACTGGCTCTAGTGACTTCCTGCAGAAAAACAATGCTGCAAACTCCTGAGGCAGACCCAGGCTACCTGAAGTCCTTCAGGTACTGAATCCAGTAACTGAGAAGTTCAAATGTCAGAATCCTTTGTTCTGAGAACCTTGGCTGCCATGGCAAC